AGGAGAGGCCTGTCCCGCTGCCGAGGGAGCGGGATGGGGAGCAAGACACCCGGCAGAAAAAACCGAAGCTGTCGCCGCCAGAGCTCCGCGGATCCTTTAAGCAGTTGCAGAAATATTAAATCCTGACCACACCAAGTGTTAAAAACAAAGAGTTCCTGCTAAGAGGAATACTTTCTGCATGATCTGGTCACGTGTGCATAGTTAAGTGATTTTTGTTGTTGGTTTTTTTATTGTTTTTAAAACAAGATTTGGTTGCAAATAAAGAAATAAAATTTAGTAAAAGTTATAGTTTTCTCGATGGAAAAAAACAAAAAAACCCTTAAAAACAGACTAGTGGTGGCTTGTTAACCAAAAAGAGAGAAAGCTACATATTGAAGGTCTGGAATCCAGCACCACGACAGCTGCACACGCTGGAGATCCGACCCCACGGAGATGTTCCGCCTTGACCTAACTTCCACACCCCGCATCGATAAAAAGGTCCCTAATACAGAAGGTTGTGCTAAAAGAATGCCACGGTTCCGCATGCTGTTTTCCCTTCCCTGCTGCCGGCCCCGCGAGGCAGCAGGCTTCTGAAAAACGCCGCATCCTAAGGGCGGAAAGAGAGACGAGGGAGCGTTAGCGAGGGGCAGGGCCCAGCGTGCCAGGCTCCGAGCGCTCGGCTTTACCTTCTCCGGCGTCCCTCCCTTCTCAGTAGAGGCCGCATTCCTTCAGGTTGTTTTTAATGATAACATCCGTGACGGCGTCGAAGACAAACTGCACGTTCTTGGTGTCGGTGGCGCAGGTGAAGTGGGTGTAGATCTCCTTGGTGTCTTTCCTTCGGTTCAGATCTTCGAACTGACACTGGATGTAGGCAGCGGCTTCCTCGTACGTGTTGGAGCCTGGAAAAGACAAGATCCCTTACTTTGGCCAGCAGCTCGCAGCACAGAGACCTTTTAAGTACCTATTAAGCTGCTTGCAACCATCTGCCTTATCCAGCCACAAATCCAAATCCACCCTTAACTCCTTCTTGTAAACCTGAAGTCTATTCCCAGCTCCTAACCTTCAGAGAACCACGGAATGGTTTGGGTTGGAAGGGACCTCAAAGATCATCCAGATCCAACCCCCCTGCCATGGGCAGGGACACCTTCCACTAGACCAGGTTGCTCCAAGCCTCATCCAGCCTGGCCTTGGACACTTCCAGGGATCCACAGCTTCTCTGGGCAACCTGTCCCAGTGCGCCCCACCCTCTCCATGAGGAATCCCTTCCCGATATCTAAACTACCCCACCCCACTTCCAATTTAAACCTTGGACAAGTCACTCCTACAAGTCACCAGCTGCTCCAGGGAGGGAGCGTGAGGTGCCAGCTGCGACGCTCCGTGCCGGAAACACACAGTTACCCGTGCTGGAAACACACAGTTATGGCAGAATTATGAGAAGCAACAGGAATAAGCAGGTTTGAAGGAAGGACTATTGAAAACACGGATCCCAACGGCTGGAGCGGTGAGTGGGCAAAGCATCACACCTGTGGGCAGGTGGGTGCCGTAGCCGGGAGGTGGAGAGGCTTCGCAGCCTTTAAAATGGAAGTTAAATCAAAGTATGGTCCTGATAACAGGAGGAGAAACGCAGAGTGGCCTTGGTCTGCCAGAGCGCAGCACTCCGCCAGCCGTAGTCCAGGCCGTAACACGCGTGGACAACGGCTGTTCCGAGCCATGGACACGCATGACCACATCTCTTCCCACAAGATGAGCCGTGGGATAAAGGGACAGCCCCAAGATGCCACCCAAGAGAAAGAATTAAGGGAAAATGATCGGTTTTTAGGCACTCTGGGGTTGTGTAGCCCTTGACTGACTCATTCCTGGCCCCGGCAGCAAATACCACTCTGCAGGAGCCAGCCTTACCCGTGTACTCCGGATAGCAGATCGTTAGCGGGCTCTTCTTAATCTTTTCCTCAAACAGGTCTTTCTTGTTCAGGAAGAGGATGATGGAGGTGTCTGTAAACCATTTGTTGTTACAGATGCTGTCAAACAGCTTCATGCTCTCGTGCATCCGGTTCTGAAAAATAAAAGGTGATCCCAGAGTTAGGACAGACCAAAGAGTCCAGTGACATCTCCCCCACTGCCACTTCCTCAGGAAGAGAGCAGGGCTCAGAGGGCACCTCCTCACCCTCTCACTCCCCCACTCGCAGGCGGGGGAAGGGCTGCAGGGGTGACCCAAGGCACCTCCCCGTCATCAGGGCAAACCTCTGCACGGCACATTTACCAGTTTCTGGGGCAAGACAGCGCAGGCTGCTGCACGGCCGCGCTCCTCTCCCAGCCCTTGAGCAAGTGTGACAAGAGGAGCAAAGCAGAGACACGTCTGCACTTGTTCCACCTCCCTTCTACCCAGCCGTGCAGCCAGGCGCAGGCAACTCCGCCGCGACGTACCATTTCCTCGTCCTCGGCCAAGACGAGGTCGTAGTCGCTGAGGGCCACGCAGAAGATAATCGCCGTCACGCCTTCAAAGCAGTGGATCCACTTCTTCCGCTCCGACCGTTGGCCACCGACGTCGAACATCCTGGGGGAGGCAGAAGGACCATCTGAGGGGCTGGGCAGAATCCCTCCCCGGCTACCACGCCGCTCGCAGGGGACGGAGGCGGCTCAGCTACAAGCAGGGTTGGGGGGAAAAAGGGGAACGCAGCCTTCCATCAGCAAGGCCAACAACTCCGAGCCCTCCCTCGCTCCGGAGGGTGGATTTTAAGCCCTCCCTCACTCAGGAGA